CGTGCCAACAGTTCACGCTCTTTTAAATCTTTCTCCACACTTTCCTAAGGAATTTACTTGTTTGAAAAACGTATGAAGACAATTTTATTAAAGCTCATTGGACAAAGAATGTTAACGTGAACAGAATGAAAGTGTGACTGATTACTACATTTTATACCTATGATAGATGTAAGGTATTAACGTGTACTACTTTTCTATCAATTTCATGCAATCTAGCAATTAAGCGGTCTACGTCAAAAACTCTTCAAACATTTGTCAAAATCACTTCAAGCATTTATACATTTCACGATGTTACAAATGCATGAAACGATTTTTTTTTTTTATAAAAATAGCTTTTAGTAATTTTAGATAGCCTTTTTTGCTGTTTTCTTCAGATAATTTGTGGTAAACGCAACACATCTATAAAACTCTTACTTCTTTCCTTCTAACCAATTATTTTGAATTACGACATCTATGTATTGTTGCGTGAACCAGAAGCAACGTATTTATTTTCTTTCGGTACGCTCTCGCCTCCTCCATCTAGTAATTACACTTGAATTTATTCACATGACAAAAAACTCTCGGAAATTAAACCATAGAGTTTCGTTTAAAGACATTGAAGTAGTAACAGTAAACTGGTATGAGAGACTACAAAATTCTAAAAGACATCGTCGAAACAGAAACGCAATTTTCGTTTGATTTTATACAAAAACGAGAGCGTAAGTGCGGAATGTAAGGCCCATTCTACGTACGTTGATACAAGTAGCTAAACGAGTGGCGTTTCAAACCAATGTACGTCACTGGCAACCGTAACTATCTCCTTAATGGCTACACAGATTTACTGATTAGTCAACTGCAGTCAAATCTTACTGACTAGGTAGTTAGAAATTAGATTAAGAAAGAAACTTACTATCTCGTCTATCTGGTTGTATGTATCGATATGTCATATGATTTTAATTGGACATATACAACTGTGAAAGAATTTATTTTCAATATCGCTTTTTTATAGTATTTTTAGGCTTCTCCTTTGACAAGTAAAAACCATTACTTTTTTAGGGACACTTGCATAGTAATTTAAATATTTCCATTAAAATATTTCTGATTTCCTTATAACTAGTTAGGTAAAGGAGGTTATAAAAACTTGATTAAGCATTACTAAAAAATAAAGTTAAAAAACAGTATAATATAAAACAAGTTATAATAAGCGTATTTGTTAACTCATAAGTCACGTCAACAACGACCCCTGATTCTTGGCATTAACAATGGCTATAAAAGAAAATAATATTCTCAAGATAAACTTTAACATCTTTACCATAAGTTTCAATTTAAAACGACAAGGATTTAAAGATGAACCGGTGAAGCACACCGTTAGTTACGAGTGCCATCCAATATTGTCGTAGCTTTGCCTCCTAATGTTTACCTTCGACACAAGTAAATTGCTGTCACTAATAGGTTTTTTACTCCCACCCGTTATACTACGTCATAACGTTCGTTTATAAATCAATTGAGACCAAGGCCCTGAATACTTGTGACAATCTACTTTCATCATCGGAGATGGAACGTGGGATAAACATATTTCATAAAGGTAATCGTAGCCTAATTAATTACAAATCAGAACTTAACTAAGGTCCTCTAAGTCGCTAAGTGATCATTTAAAGACTTTAAGCGAGTATAGTGACCACTAAGGTTTTTAGTGTAAACTTATAAATCTACACTAAGCAACTGAAGTAACCCCTAAAATACTTTGAGAGTTAAGAATTATCTGAGGACACAGAGCTTTTTCAAAATGAAAAAAAAAAACAACTAAACTACAACTTACTTGAACAGCGCTATTCAAGAAACAGTTGTTTAATCCAGGAGCGTTCCAAAGACCTTTAGTGGTGTGGAAGATTCCAGAATCTCTGGAACCATCTCTTGAATGCTGCGGCCTGAGTTCAGCTTCCCGCCGGTAAGGTTCGTGTGCTGGAGCTGCCATATTTATTCTAGTTACTGTGTCGCCATTTCATAGATTTCGACGGCATCCATTCTCTCTGGAAAGGAAAAAAATACTAAATTAAATTGAGCTAACCTATTTAAACTTAGAGAATGGAGTATTGCACTCAGTATCTTATTTATGGAATGACTTAAACAAATATTTAGTGTCACTTAAAGGTTTTCCTGATTATAGTAATTTTATAAATACAAAAGTTTAGATGGATGGATGTTTGTTAGAGTTTGTAAACGGCTTAACAGATCTAGATGAAATTTTGAATAGATGTAGAACATAGTCTAGAAGAAAACATAGGCTATTTTCTTTTGTTTTCTTTATTTCACGCGGACGGAGTCGTCGGCAAAAGCTAGTAAATAATAATGATGGTTTGAAAATTTTGTTTTTTTAGTGCTGTTACTTGTGAGAGTCAAACTTCTACATAATTGCTACCGAATTAAAAGGTTTATAATTTGAACGTTGTTAACAATTATAAATCCAAATCATATTGTATTTTACACACATAATACTGATGGCTAATAAAAGATGCATAAACAATCATTCTCATAAGATTTGTCGGCCGCGTTAGATCAGTTTATATTATAATGTGAGCCAATAGCACGATGATGTGGAATGGGGTCACATCAATAGAGATGACCCCGTAAAGTTAATCGCTAATCGCATCCGCCTGCTGAAGTACGCCATCTGTTCAATTATCAACGTCATATTTACCTTACATTCATTAATTTATTATTGTTATGGTAATTTTTCATCGAACAGTAACATTGATAACATAAACATCCGTAGAAAGCTCTTTAAATAGCAACCCTGACTTATTACAATAAATCAATTTTGATGCATAAGGGTTTTATTTTTAGGGTTACAACATTTCTAGTGTATTATAAGTGTCTATCAAAATACTACTCGACTTTATCGGTAAAAATACTTTTACGAACACAACCCTACTAACATTGTTTCGTTACTATCTAAGACAACAGTCCTAAAATTGCTTTCCTCATTATTTTCTTATCGAAAAGCTGTTGAATTAGTTATATATTGATTAGATAAAATATTCCGTTATAACGCTAGGTGCAATATAAACATGCTTTAAAATCACCAAGTAACCACAACTATTACAAGAAAATGATTACATGAACCTATCGGTCTCCGTAAACGTAGCTCATTATTGAAGCATATAGTTGATGCCGTTTTTATCACCTTACCTTACTCACTTGATAAACATTTATCCACGCTCAGAAGCGTTTAATCATAACTTAAATAGTCGCTCAATAAAGGGAATTAAATAAACAACTTAATAGAAGCATTTAAAAAAAACACACGGAAGTAAATATTGGGAATAAGATCCCTCATAAGCCGTTAGCTAAGGTATCAGATAGATAAGGGAACGTCGTGGTCCACTAATGACGTCATTGGAGTCGAACGCATTCTTGTGAAGTCTGTTGATCATTTGTACCCAACACGTGTACACAACTGTAGGAGTTGAACGTGAACTTGAATAAAATGTTTATTTGTAATACGAATGTTTTGTACAGACTTGTATACGGTTATTTTAAAACAAGTAGCATCTTTGATTCGTTTTGAAAATAACGGTGTATCGACATTATTTTAGATAGACATGTTATATGGAAAAACAAACCGGTAAACGTAATTTGGGTAAGTAATCAATGAAGTTTAAGAGCGGGCGCACATCTTTGAGTAAACTCTCGCACAACTGCTGAGCGATTGTCGATTGTTTCACAGCAAAATCAACTGTTTAGTTGCACATTTAAAAATCGAGCAGTATGCGCACCTCCATATAAGGTCATAGGAATCATAGCGCGACTGAAAGTCAGAATTGATTTCATCTAACTTAAAATAATAAAAAAATCCTTTCCTGACTAAATGTATACTAATATTATTTTAATAAAAACTTTTAGGAGATTTTGAGGAATTTAAAAGAATTTAACAATAATATGAATATCCGGTTTTCGGTCGTGCGAAATGGTGGCCTTGTCTCATCGCGACCTCAAAAACATCCTCAACTTAAGAATGCTGAGGTGTGAATTCTTTTTACGTTAACGCATAACTAAATTAAGTTATATTTTTGCCCAAATTTCTTTTATAATTCTACAATGAATTTTACTCATTAAAATATAATTTTACTTAATAAAAAGTAAAAACCTAATTTCACTTTGTAAACTATCGAGTTAAAAATTGTTTGATATTTCTGTTGTAGTTAGGATCATTTGTTACAATGTCATATAGATTTTTACAAACAAGCATAAAAATTAGTAATCAGCATTTGTAAAGTCAGAGCAATCTTTTTTTCTAGTAAAAACAGTACTTTAACCAAATACTTTTGAAATACTTTGTTATCTAAACTATCTATATCTATCTATCTTTTATATCTTCTTACTATAATAAAGCGTAAACACATATTTCTTTGTTGCCTAAGATGTCAGCAATTACAGCATATTTTTAAATAATTCTTATTTTAATAAAATGCCCTACACTTACGTCACGCTTTAGGCTATATATTTTTAAGCGATTAAACTTATGGGGTAAACATTTTGGATTAAAACCCTAATGTGGGAAAGAGACCATAAGTTGTTGCCAACATCAAGGAAGCAAGACTGTCAAGGTTTGTCATGTCATGTCATTTTGATATTTGCAATTGATAATTTGACACATGTAAACTTAGTAAATAAAATTTTCATAATTGTATGCGCATGAAGTCGCACGGGAACAGCTAGTTTTAGATAAAAGTTAATTATTCTGGAATATGTTTAAATGTAAAGTATTGACCTTTAAATCAAGTAATAAAGAAAATGCGGCCGTGGTTGTGTGAATGCAGTCTCTGCACGTGCGCGGCCGGCGCCGGCTTCCGCGAAACCAGTTGTTCAACGGTTTATTTCAAACTGCTTGAATTACGTATCCCATGATTTGTTCTCAACAATTTTCTTGACCTTATAACTATAATCGTTTGAACTACCTACTGTATTTTCAAAAGTTATTATTAGTTTTAGGGAATTCATGCAATAGACTGGACTAGAAACGAAATAGTCTGCAAATTGTGGTTAAAAGGTTGAGTATATTTTTTCGTGACAAGAGTAGTAGTAGTGCAGTAGAGTAGTGCAGTAGTCATTCATTCACCACTGAATACTGCCACTGAAATAAGACGCATTACAAATCCTTTAGGTGTTTGGTGATGAAATCAGAGAAGAATGTTCATGTAAAAATAAACCCTTCAAACAGATAGTAATTAACGAAAATATTGTAAAAGCAAACAACGTTTAAAGATGTTACGTATTTAGAAACATCGAACAAGTTTACACTTGGGTATTTGTAAGCACAAAGCAAAGCAAAGCGAGTTTATTTTGGTCTCTACGATTCAAGATTTCCGACCTATCAAATCCGAGAGATCGATTTAAACTAAAAAAAAGTAGGTTAATTCCTGGATATCATTTGCGTAAACCGACGAATTCAGGTTTCGTATGTTTACAAAAGCAATGAAAATATAAACGTTTCTACAAATGTAATAATATTTATTTTACACTAGCTTTCGCCCGCCACTCCGTCCGCGTGGAATTAAAAAAAAAAACAAAAGTGGGTAGCCTATATGTTCTTCAAGACTATTCTCTACATCTATACCAAATGTCATCAAAATCCGTTCAGCCGTTTAGGCTACAAACTCTAACAAACATCCATCCATCCATCTAAACTTTCGCATTTATAATATTAGTAATTAAGATAAGTAAAAAGTTGAGAAATGTAATGTTTTAAATTAAAAAGATTGTAATTAAATTGTAACAAAGATTAACGAAACAGCCGCATGCGATAAAAATCTACAGACATTGCTTCAGACTTATTGTTCTTATTCGTTCGGGCCAAAGACCTAACCAAGAGATCTGAATCTAATTTAGACTCGTCTGGTCTTGACCTAATGTCGTGATTTCGGTTCATGCCATTCACTTAACACTTAGCTTTAATAGTTCTTACAGACATCTATTTCTCTATTAATAGTACATTACTTACTGTCCAAGTTATATAAAATAATGTTTTTTTTTTATATGATAAAAGGTGGCAAACGAGCAAGCGGCCACTTGAATCCACCGAAATGAAAAGCGACCGCTTGCAACATCCGCAATTGCAGATGCGTTGCCTAGCCTTAATTGACGTAGGAGGAGACGCACATAGAGGGGACATTTTCCTTTCCTATGCGTCTCCTCCACCGTCAAATCCACTTTTCTTTCCCTTCCTTTCCAATTAATAAAAGAGTGGAAAGGGAAAGGAACTAAAATTAGGCAAAACGTAATATTTTACTAATAAAACTAACAAAATATTAAATTCATTATAATCATGTAAGCAACAAAAATCTTAAACCAAGCATTACCATTAAGTAGGGTTAAAAATCTCATAGCCAGTCAAGGAGGTAACCGAAATTACCCCTTGAGTGTTCCCCGACCTGTTCTTTGAGATCGTTTAAATGCAGCACTCTATACTTTTATGTAGTTTATTGAACCGATAATTCTATTTTAAAAGATAATCCAATACATCTAATATAATGCTAAAGAAACTCCGTATCTAAGAGCGATAGTTGATTGGCATTGTTATACGTAGATCCCGAAGAATATTTGTATATCATCAGTTCCTAAAAATGGTACCAAACACTTGGACGTTGTTATTATCTTCTTTTCTTAAAACCAAATGACTTCTTGTTCATTCATATTCGTTAAGTATATTTAAATGATAATAGACGTATTAATTATTCATCGAATATAACATAAATAATCGTAATATAGTCTAGAAGTTTTTATGACAGTTTTACCATAAAGCAAAAAAGATTCGAGTATTTTAAAAATTCAACGATCATACAAAGTCAATTTGAAGTATATATTTATTTTAAATTAAATGTATTTAGAAAATAATATAGATTATGTGTTACATTACTTTTTAAAACACTTATTTACATTACTATCTCAAATCCGCTACACTTTTAGCTCAAGAAGTGAATTTATCCTCACCAAAGTTGCAAAAAATGAACCTTTCAAGTAGTTCTATGTAACTCCGAATAAAAAAGTGAAGTGTCAGATTCAATAAAGCTAAAAGGTCAAACAACTCGAACGCTCCATTAGTGATAAATAATTTTAAGTGATAACCTTAAAAGCTTTCTCGTCGCATGAGTTCAAGTAGGCTGAACTTAAAAGTTCAAGGTGAAAAAACTTAGGTAATTTAAACATAAAAATTAGATTGTTTTGACAAGAAATTTTATAATACAGGCACCTTATTTTAGAGAAAATTATTTTTTAAAGTTTTTGTATCCGGGTATAGAATTTATAACTTTAAAATTATTAATTAATTGTATGTTGTAAATACGATAATCTCAACATGATGTGTCTGTTCAAAACAGTTAATTAAAAACCGTAATCTTCAATCAAACCGAGATGGAGGATTTACAGCATCAATAAAGAAAACTCATACATAAACAAGAATACAAATACACCCACACATAAACGCATAAAGCTTGATACGTGACACAAAAGGAGCAAGTCGGTTAGCTGCGCGTGAGCCGACCCGCGACAAGGCACGAGTCAAACCGCCATCGCGACCAACAAATTATGTTATTATTATTCTTACGTTTTCTTTATATTATACACTTATATTAGAAAAATCCAAATAACTGAAATGCTAATCAACAATAATATTTTGATTGAATCTTAATAACGTCAACAGAGAACAATGGCATGTTATTTTTGTGTGTAACTATTATTATTTGTCATAATAGTACATCTAAATAAATGAAAACATATTTTTCTACTTCGTCCGTTTCAACAATATACGAAAACATAGTGAAGATATGATTTTTTTTGTTATTTTTTTAGATAGGAACCTAGAGGAAACTCTAACATATTTTTTTTGTATTTTTGCACGTACAACATCTAATTACATATATGTTATCTATAATTTAAAGAAAACACTACTGTGCAGGATTAAATGATGACCACCGACGTAGTTAAATCTGTTACCAGTAAGATTAACGTGGCGTGAACATAGTCAACAAGTGTGACAAAATGTAATTAGTGTGTCGCGTATCTGAAGACAAGACAATTCTCGATAAATTTTAAAAGACAGTTACGACGACGTAGTAGGGTAGTTAATGAACGTCATCCGTCAACGTCGCTGTCGACAAAGTGCGTTAGCTGACCAACAGAATTGTCCGAGCGTAGAAAAAATTTCTACTCAGAGCTCGATTGTTTTGTATTTGAGCCCAAACCAATGTTGAGTATTATCGTGGAAATCTTAAGAGAGATGTGTAGTAGAGAGTAAAGAAATAATTAGGTAGGCATATTGACAATATTAACATTGCAAACTAGAAAGTTAGTACTCTATCAAGAATTATTTGATATTTTAAAAAATGTACTAAAATACATAGTTACTGCACAAGGGCATCCCCAGTCGATGATACCCCTTTTCCAGATGGTTATGCCCATCTCAGTATATAACAAAAAATAATAAATATAAACTCAAAAAATAATAAAGAAAAATAAACCCCATTTACTTCCCAATAATCAATGGTTGAGAAAGGAAAAAAGCGACGCATGTAATGAAACGCTTTTCAAGTTCTATTTAATTGAACATGTAAATGTGCGAGTGTCTTGTTTGAAGGTATGGGATAATTACACAGATTGATCAAAGTAACTGTAACAAAGTATAGGATAGTCGTAAAATTGTCGACGTTAAAAAAAACATGACATGAACGTTGGTACTTACAACTCGTATCACTATTAGATTGGGCGCACACCTTTGACTAAACTATCGCACAACAGTTGTGCGATTGTCGATTGTTTCGCAGCTAATTCAACTATTTAGTTGCACAACTAAAAATCGAGTAGTGTTCTACATATAAGCTCAGAAGAATCAAAGAGAAACTAAACAGTTGTGCGACAGATTAGTTTCAAGTGTGCACGCTCTTAAAGGCTGTAAATGGCGTGTGTTTATTAAATATATGATTTTTACAGTTACAAAAGTTTTCTGTTTTAATATTTTGTATATAATATTGTTAAGTTCTAAGACGGGCATATTTCTTGCTTGGTTACTTATCCAGCGTTTTATTTGTAGATTTGAATGCAAATTAATTAAATAAACGAATTGTTAAAAACGCAGTGTAACTAGCAACGTAGAATGTCAATTTTAAATACAGTTTTTTGCATTTAACATTTCCCGCCTCCCCGTTCGCAGACAAACAAGAATAATGGAATCATTTATTTATGGTTCGTATTCAACACAGGTTAAAAAAAGTTATATTATTTCACCTGGCATCGGGCACGTGCCTCGTTCACCTGTTCTCAGTAGTAGGTTTAAATGAGCATGGTCTTAGAAATACTATCGATAATTGGCTAAAGAAAAATACTATACTTTTTTTGTACACTACACTACAACCATGCAGCCCTTTATTATTATTGCAATAGAGTTAACCACTTATGAATAAACTAGCTTTTGCTGGCGTGAAATTAAAAAAGTTGCCTATGTGTACAAGATAGGTGTGTTCTTTCTTCTGGCACCTAAAGTAGCCACAAAAAAAATGGCGAAAACCATTATAATTTTGTCCGGAAACATTATAAAATCATACTTACATTTGAATTTATACTACTTTCGGATTTGTATCGCAAAAATAATCTTTACCGTTCAACATCCGTTACTGATTCAAAGACAAGGTATAAACTGTTGTTCAGTAATACAAATCATATTGCATTGTACATAAAAATAGTAATAACTACTCGAAGTACTAATATTTAATTTAATTTTATGGGCGTAATTTAATTTAACAACTCTATATTTTCTTTTTTTAACTTCTTGTTATTCACACTCTTATTATTTAAATTTCATATGCTTCTTCTGCAGATCAGTAACTTAAATGCAACCAGCCAGTAGTTTCGTATAAACAAAGAGTTTTTACAAGCAAAAAGTAAATGTTTCTATTTTTGTCATAATGGGATTTGTATGGTCTTAAATAAATATAGATTCTTACCTAAGATTTTACACCTTACAACTTCTTAAAAGTCACTTCCCCGACAACATTACTCATAAGTCACAGTTATTATTTCACATTTTATGCTTTAACACTAATTACAAATTAACACTAAAGTCAAATTTAACTTAACGCAAATATATAAAATTTATTCCGTTTTTAATATACTTCTTAAATTAAAAACTCTTAAATTATAAAAATACTGTCAACTTAACTGTTCTAAGTTATCACTTATTAAAAAAAAAGTAAATTAAACCGCAGTTTAAAAAATACAATTAATTTTCCCGCTTTTTTGTTGCAGCAAAGGCACGACGCGCGTCCAGCCGCGAAGGAAGCCGGTTCGACGCTGTCATGTCGATTTGTTTTATTTTGAAACCCGCGAGCGGCCGCGTCGCTGCAAGACGCATGAGCCTTCGCATGCTTGAAAAACGCACCGTTGAAAAAAAATTCAAAACAAGCCTGTTGTGGACCGAATAGAAAGTTTCTGGTTAAATCTGCTTTATTATCATAATATAATGTAAAACTCTGTTTTGTGCTATTTCATTCATTGTTATTTTAAGATATAAACTTTGTATTAATCTATACTTTTATACTAATGTAATAAAGAGGAAAGATGCGTATTTTTGTATGTATTGTAATAACTCAAAAACTACTGGGCCGATTTTAAAAATCCTTTCACCGTTAGATAGGTAATTTATCTGTGAGTAACAAAGGCTATGTTTTTATTGTTTTTGAATTTCACGCGGAGGAAGTCGCGAGCATCAGCTAGTACTTTGTATGTAGGTATTTGGATTTTTTTGAGTATAACTTGAGTAGATTTGTTCCAATCCATAAGTTACATTCATTCTTAAACTGTAGAAACCTTTTAAAATTTTAACACTTGAACACTAAATATAGATTCTTTGCCTCCTAAGTAATGAAATGCTAGTGAATTTATCACAGATCATTTATTTGTATTTCATAAACAAAAAAAAACCTTGCAACTTATAACTTATAATAAGTAATATTAAAACTCAAGGTAAAACATATTTAAAAAAAATATTTGCTACTCATTATTTATTTCATTTTCCGCTTTCTCTATTTCATCCATATTTAAATCTTCAGCAAATTCTTCAGATTTCTCTACTTCCTTTTCTTTGACATTGCTTCGTTTTAAAAACGGTTCATGTAACGCCTTGTACAATTTCTTCGCCTTTGTCGGCCCAAAACCGGGACAATCGGCAAGTCGGTTTTCATTTGCTTTTATTATATTTGCTAATGTTCCAAAATTAGTAAGTAGCGTCATAGCATCAGTTTTATTAACAGGTTTAATATTGGATAATGCATTTATAATCTGAAAAAAATTAAGATATTTTCTCAACATATTCAGTGCAATAGCAACTTGTGTTCATAAGAAAACAATAGATAATAGATTTCAGCGCCATCTATGAAATTAATTTATGCAACATTACTTCTATACAATATCAAAACATAAAAACATTATACCTTCTGTTGTGGACCATTTTCTATTTTTTCCATAATTCTATCGGGTGGTTTATTTTCAAATATTTTATAGTTCTCTACAATTTTTGCAGCTTCTTCCGGACTCCAAGCCAGCATTAGTGTTAGATCAGTTAGAAGACATATCCTTGTTAGATTTTTCAAAGCGCTGTGGGGATCCTTTAAATCTACCTAATAAAATTATATCAATAAATTATGCTTCTTCTAAACAATATTTCTTTTTAAAATAAGCAATATAAAATATTTATGTGAGAGCTAGACAATAGTTTTTAAGGAATAAAGAATTTGAAAATGTTGCCAGGTATCAACAATCACCAATTAAGTAATTTACTGTTTGTGATATTGATGTTTGACCGAAAAACAAAACATTTTTTTACCTGTACCAAAAGAACTCTAAGCTCATATTTCTTTCCCAATTCTTTTATCCTATTGTTGAGATAATCAGGATTTAAATTGTGATATGCTGTAGACAGAAATAAAATACATATTGTTTTGCCTATCTCATAATCTGGAATTATTTCATCATATTCCCATGCCACACCTGTGATAAACTTCAGTAAGGGATTTCCACGCTAAAAGGAAAATATGACTATAAATACAATATATCACATTACAAAATTGACTATCCTAAAAAACATACTTGCTTTTGATTTACTAACACACAATGTGTCTTAGATGAACTTGGCTTTGAAGGTCCTGGAATAAAATAGAAAAAAAACTTTAGTTTCATAATATGAAATATATTTACTACAAGTTGATGGTGCAAATCATATTTTGAATTTGAATAAGAAACAAAATAAAAAAAAAACAACATAAGATAGTATTGAAGTCATTTGAATTACCCGGTAGTTCATCTTGTCCTGTTTTAGGTCTTTTGGAAATTGTGGGCTCATCAATTTGTGCTAATAAATCATCAAAACCATCTTCTAATTCCATTTGAATAAAGTCAATATAGGGCTGACTATTTACTGAAAATAGTAATCGGTATTTAATATTTAAATAAACTGTGCACAACCAAAACATGTGTTTTAGACACTGACGTTGTAGTGACAGCTGATAGATTGATAGACAAAAAAAATCAAGAAAGTATTGAAAAGGGATTCATTAAACCTTTTACGAAGTAAACAATAAACTAAATGGAGGAGATAACAAACATTTCGTGTCGTGTTAATGTTTTACAATGTGAATTTACTGAATTTGAAAACTACAGCGATTGCCCATCTGATTTTTTTTATCTGTTATTGTCAATGTCAAGTAAATGTCAAAAGTCATTTAAAAATACGAATACAAGCCAAGTACCCGTGAAAGGGCTATTTATTATTTATTTAATTTAATTTAATTTAATTTTATAACAGTGGAGGAAATTAATGTTGTACTAAGTTAAAGTTTATTTTTGTAAATTTATTCATTTTAAAAAATCACTGTCAAATCACATTTTAAAAAGTCATGTAGCCAAAATATTTTTTTTTTTTATGAAAAGTAACGCAATACCAACAGTATTATGTCGTTTTTTATATGTACTCGTTATTTATTAATTAACTACGTATTACGTAATAAATATAAATAATAAAATCTCAAAATGGGTAATTTTGGTGGAGATGTGGATCTCAAAGATGTTTTTGTAGACGATATATTTGACACTACCTCCCTATTAGAAGATTTCGAAAATACCACTTTTAAAGATTCTTCTATATCTAAAGACATCAGGGGAAATATTAATAAATCAAATATTAACTATGATTTAAATGTAAGGTAAGCATAATCGGTTAAACCATGAATTTACTAACTTTTACAAAAAATTGCAATTGATTAAAAATTTAATGTTCTATGTTATTGAAGTTCTGAGAATTATATTTAGTTTCTATTTACTTAGTGTTTCCTAAATACTTACTTCTTCTTTTTTGGGTTCACAGTGCATTATGCTGCGATGAAGAATTAAGTGGATATGACAAAATAACTGGGGGAACATGGATATATCCAACCAATTATCCAGTCAGAGACTACCAATTCAATATTATAAAAGCTTCAATATTAAAAAATACACTTGTAAGTATCCATAAACTTGATTTTTAAGTTTTTATTTCTTAAAATTTTTTACCATGTTAGTTTGGAATATAATTTTTATTATCTGTTAACTGTTTTCAGGTAAGTCTTCCAACTGGTCTTGGAAAGACATTTATAGCTGCAGTAATTATGTATAACTTTTACCGCTGGTATCCTCTTGGTAAAATAGTATTCACTGCTCCTACCCGTCCTCTTGTCGCTCAACAGATTGAAGCTTGTTATAACATTATTGCTATACCACCAAAAGATACTATTGAGATGACTGGTTAGTAAACAAAGTTTTACACATACTACCTTTTGTCCCTAAGTAACCTATACAAGCCATGTGTTTTTCCAAACTATATTCTATATCTATTCCAAATTTGTTGAGATCCGTTAAGCCATTTTGGAGATACATAGTTCAAACATACATTAAATTTTTTTGAATTCATAATATAAGCTTTTGGCTCGGAATTAAAAAAAATACTTGGACTATTTGTACTTCAACCATCAAATAACATAAATACTTCTACAATCTTAATTATCTCATTTTTTGTATTAGTAAAGTAAGGTTTTTTTTAAATAAATTATTTAACTGCAGGCCACATGCAAGTAAATATACGAAAAGCGCACTGGATGTCTAAAAGAGTGTTTTTTGCAACACCACAAGTGATATATAACGATATAAAGTCTGGTATATGTCCTGGCGATCAGATACGTTGTTTAGTGATAGACGAGGCGCACAGAGCGCGTGGCAACTACGCTTACTGCCAGATAGTCTCTACATTGACTGATATGGGACATAAGATTTATAGAATTTTAGCCCTGTCAGCCACTCCGGGAAGTAAAGTCGAGGATGTTGTTACTGTAAGTTATTATTGTATACATTTTGTTACCTCCTACTTTATAACACCCCTGACCTTTTGACTAATTGGCCCATTATTCGATCAATAGAGTAATCAAGTATTTTCAACTTTCCAACCTTTAAACCAACATTCCAACCTTCCGACATCAAACACAAATGTTTTGTTAATTTTATCGTTTTTATTATTTTTACAGGTAGTCAAGAATCTACATATAGCCCATTTGGAATTACGTACAGATAATTGTATAGACGTCGCACCATATAGTCATTCGAGAAAGATTAGTACTGTAGTAGTACAGTTAGGTCCGGAACTCACACAGTTACGGCAGCAGTATGTTGAAGTATGTTGTTAGCTTGTACTTTAAGATATTTTTATGACTAACTGTTGGCCGCGACTTCGCCTGCGTAAAATAAGAAAATATAGCCTATGTTACTCACAGATAAATTACCTTTCTAACGGTTAAAGAATTTTTAAAATCAACCAAGTAGTTTTTGAGTTATTTCAATACATACAAAAATTTATTTAAGTATTCTCTAGAGGGAAGGGGAACTGTTCTGCTTATGGACATATTACAGAATACTGTTAATAAAAATCAAAAAATAGATAGTAAACAATTATTGCCATAAACCAAGATCACAATTTTCATATTTCTATGTATTTCTAGATTCTTGACGGATATGCGAGAAGATTGAAACAATTGAATATTTTACAACAAAATGTTGGCAATTTATCGAAAGGTCGTATTGTAATGTTGTACAAAGAGTACCAATGCAAAGAAAGAGGCGCGCGGTTTGTAACAATTGTTTTAATTTTAACAATTACTGCTCAAATTTATTCAGTTTGTGTAGTGTAACCATTCGGACAGACCAGAGTAGAAAAATTGAACTTTATGCAATTATAACAAGGTTTCATTTAATTTTACACATCTATACAAAACTAACCATAAATCTTCAGATCTGGTCTGTGTAGATGGTTTCTAAGATGCAAATACTTGAAGCTAATGTATTTTGTGTAAAAAGTATAAAACATCCATAAATAAAAATATCACAAACAGCAACCAAAATAAAAAAAAAAACACTTACCTTACCTTGCAATCAGTGTCGTTAATTCTTGAAGTAGTTGTTGGGAGACCCTTAGTATACATTTAGTATACAAAATCCACACTAAAGAAACTATTATATGATTTTCCAGACATCCGCAACACAAGTACATAATGAAAGACTTCACTATGCTGATAGCTCTGTACCACGGGCTGGAGTTGCTGGTGAAGCACGGCTCCAGGGTCTTCCTCAACTTCTTTGATGAGCATCCGGAGAAGAGCTGGATACAATCCGATGATCGCCTCACAGCACTGCTGGAGACACTGCGAGAAGACCTTGGCGTCAACCCGTTGACCTTGAATAGGAGTATGTTACCTGATGGTACTATACCTGAGGTAACAGTTTATTACCTATCTATCCTAATTTTTACTTCTTACTAATATTAAAAGTTAGTAGCCTATGTGTTCTTCCAGACTATCCTCCACGTCTCTGTCAAATTTCGTCGAGACACCCTCAGCTAAAAACTCCATACATCCATCCATATAAACTTTTGCATTTATAATATTGGTAAGATAAGATAGTAAGATGCGAAACTTTAGATGGATGAATGTTTGTAAGAGTTTGAAGGGAACCCAATGAAATTTGACAGAGACGTAGAGCACAGGAACACAAAGGCTACTTTCATTTGAATCATCTCTTTCTGTTTTTTTTTTACCTTTTTTTAATTCTATATGTCACTTTCTTTTTTGTTTTATTGTAGATGCCGAAGGATTTGTGCTTCGGACATCCAAAGTTTTATAAGCTTAAAGAAATAATGGTGGAACATTTCCAAAAAGCGAAGAAAGACGGGAGAGAAACAAAAGCAATAGGTATTAACCGTTAATTAAATATTGAACAATTACTTCTCAATTGATATTTTTGTATAGTTTCTTATTTATTTGTTTATTGGTAATCAGTACCAACCTCAAAAAAATCTCCCCTTTTTTTATAAAAAACTTATTTTTTTTTTGAAAACTAAAGAATCTGCCACCAATTAATTTAACTTAAATTAGGTTATTTATGTACCAATGTGATTTTTGATACATAATTTACCCGACGTTCTTACGGTGAAGGAAAACATCGTGACGCCTGCACATATCGGCGAAGAAATTCAAAGATATGTGTGAAGTCAACCCACAGTGGGCGAGTGTGGTTGACTATGGCCTAGTCACCCCTCATGGGTAGGCTCCGAGCCCCTCGTTAGGGACGTATAGTGAGCTGGTGATGAAAGTTATTTGATTAAATGTTAATTACTTTGTATATAATTGTGCAGTGTTCTGCGAGTACCGCGAGAGCGTGAGCCTGGTGCAGTGCGTGCTGCTGCAGTGCCGGCCGCTCATCCTGCCCACCATGTTCGTGGGGCAGGGCGCCAGGGGTCAGACACTTTACTGTTATAACGCTGATTATAATTTGTATTACTACTTTAAATATACTAGCTGTTGCTCGCGACTTTATCACCGTGAAAAAAAAAACAGTAAAAACGCCTCAACTTACTACTATACTTACTACTAACATGGCTATTTAATGGTGCAATAATAATAAATAATAAATAGTTTTTGGTCAGTAGTAGTTTTTGAATTATTTCAATACTTACAAAAAACAAAAAATACAAATCTTTATACTTTACTAGCTTTCGCCCGCGACTCCGTCCGCGTGGAACTGAAAAATACAAAAGCGAATAGACTATGTGTTTTTCCAGACTATCCTCTACATGCCAAATTTCATGGAAATCCGTTCAGCCGTTTAGGCTAAAAATTCTAACAAACATCCATCCATCCATCCATCTAAACTTTCACATTTATAATATTAGTAAGATAACATTAGTATAAATAAATCAAGTACCTTTTTTAATTTTTAGCTGTGTCTGTCATTTTTTGTATCGCAAAGTTTTATAATATGTGACGTCGTGTTGTGGTGTAGGCAGAGAGGGCGCGGTGTCGCAGCCGCAGCAGCTGCGGGCGCTGCGCGGCTTCCGCGCCGGCGACACCAACGTGCTGGTGGCCACGTGCGTGGCGGAGGAGGGGCTGGACGTCGGCAGTGTCGACCTCATCCTCTGCTTCGACATCTCCACGCGCTCGCCCATACGACTCGTACAGAGGTTCATTTTACTTCTTACTACGAAATAATGATTTTCCATTTCCCTTTCGTTAAATTATTTTGTTACAACTTACAGCTTAAATAACTAAACATGTTTTGAAGATTGTGGTGTCAATCGATTTGTCTACTTCCATGGATTGTCTACAGACTATTTTTTGTTTTTTAAAATAATGATCCGTGTTTTTTATATAATCTAAGAGGTGTCCCTTACGAATTTTATACTTCCAGATGTGGTCGCACGGGCCGAGAGCGCGGCGGACAAGTGTTCATCTTGGTCACTGAAGGAAGGGAGCATCAGGTAAATTATTTATATACTATTTTTTTTAGTCTTTTACCTTAAAACCAATTTTAATATTTTTGGTAGTTTTAAAGATATAGTAATAAATTCTATCCATTTAAATTTAAGACAGACTGCTACTATACTCTATAAATTAATAATAAATACTTCTTATTCAATTTTATTCCAGACGTTATTGGACTGTATGCGTCAAAGAGATGGACTTAATAAGAAAATTCTACAATCCAAAGAAGTTGAAAATAATTTATATAAATTGAATCCAAGAATGATACCGCACGACTTCACACCGGAGTGTCAGAAAATGTTTATAACGGTTGCACAGAAATCTGATACTAAAGGTAAAACTACAAGAAAGAATAAAAAGGTAAATTGAAAAAAAAGTACAGTAATTTCGGTCAGTCAAAATTGCTAGAAAGATCAGATTTTTTTCCACTTGCCAATTAAAATTTTCTGTTTTTTTTATCTAGGGTCAAAAAGATTTAAGAAACATGTTCATTGGAAAACCATCGACAAGTTCTAATTCAATAGATAATGAAAATAATTTAATAAAAGAGCCGGAGTTTAAAGAAATAATTCCAACTGGATTTCCTCCATTTCGGAGAAGTTTACAAGAAACTTTTAAATCTGGTCACTCGAGAGACACGGAGCCATTTGTTGATCTACAGTACTGTGATACCAAGAAATCTGAATTAACAACTAGCCAATATCCAGGTAAATACAATTTATATATTGTTAGCAATTTAAGAAGACAAAAAAAAAACAATTTTTGTTTTTGTCTCATATTCAAAAAGAATGTAACGATTTTTTTAATCTGTAGTGTAAAAGTTTTGAAATTTTCTTAAAGATGTTTTTTTTATTTGTATTAAATATTGTTTACAGGCATTACCTTGGACTTCAAAACACAAAAGCCACAGACGCCCACAAAAGAAAAAAATATTAAGAAAAAAAACAAAAAAACTCCATCAAAATCACCGCATAAAAAAGATGGGGATATACGAGCATTGTTCAGTGGTTCAACTAAATCAACAACAAGTTATACGAAACTATTAAAAGATTTAGGTCTTCAAGATGGAGGGAAAATGCCCATGAATTTAATGAACTTACTTATTGATCTTAACTTAGAGAGTAAAAATAATACAAAAAAATGTCACATTTGTCTCAACTTGTGTAACTGTTCCGTATTAAATCAGATAAGAAATACTAGAAAAAGAACTAAAAAACCATTAGATCTTAATAATTTACATTTACCGGATCTTAAACTGCTAGAATTTGTTAATAGTGAAAACATCGTAAATTCAAAGGATTCATTTACAGCTAATGAAAATTTTGACATCGGTAATATTGAAGATATTTTCGCTGATAGTCCAGAAATAGAGGACATACAAAATAATAACATTAATGAAAAAATTGCTAACCCAAAAGAAACTTTGGAATTCTTTGGTTTAGATAGCATAGAAGATATTTTCGCTGATTATGAAGATAGTTCAGAAAAATTACAAGAAGACATAGAAACAGTTGAACATAGATTGTCTCCTATTTTACTGTCTCGCCCAATACAACCATCTAGTCCTTCAATTTTGTCAGGACAGACAGAAAGACCGACATCACCAATATTATGCAGTCAATTTAAAACTCAAACAAGCACAAAGAAAACAATACGAGATAATTCTACTCCTATCAATACTAAAATACCAAATATAAATGCTAATGATACAGTTATCGAGCAAAGTAAAGATATTGGAGTAACTCCAAATTATTTGTCAAATGTCGGTAACAAAAGTATGTTCACAGTAACACAACTCGTTGAAATGATTAACAAAACTTGTGATGCTTCTACAAATAATATTATAAACGAATCAAATCATAACAGAAATAAAAGGAACTCATCACCTATATTAACACAAGATAATAGAAATAGATTATCAAATATATCTATGAATGAAGTAAAGAAAATTGATTCAATCGCAACTCAATACAATAAAACCCAATCTCTCATTATTCTTGATAGTGACAGTGATTCAGATGAAAATACACAAGAATATATAAATAATGATGTTTTAAAAGAATTTATGAAAACGGATGAGAAAGAAATTGAAGACATAAATAGTGAAACAAATGTAAATCTGTTAGATAACGATTCTATAAGTTCATCGCCATATTTTAAGAAACCAAAATCAGGCAAAAATGTACAGAGCCAATTGACGTTACAAGAAAAGGTGTTGGCGGCTTTGACTTCGAATAAAATCAATTTTCCTAAATCAGATAATAGCAATAACATCTATTGTGCCGTATCAATTCCGTCTCCGGGGAATGAGAATTTCAAAATATTTTCACCTAAAAAGTATAGTGATGAAAGTAAAATTAATAGGATAGAAGAGTTACAAAAGTTTAGACGCGACACAAAAACCTCAGAACGTAAAGATGTAAAAAACGATAATAAATCAAGATTGAGTTCTAAAAGGAAATTAATTTTCAGTGATAGTGATGATGATTTTATAGATCCAGTCGATTATTTCAACAAATCTAATAGCAAACTGAATACAACTAGCAATATAAAAAATCATAAAGCACGTAAAGTAAGCATTTCATTCATTAAATTCATAACTAAACTTCCATTTTCAACTAAATATTTTAGACAAAGACGTTCTAATTTGACAAATTCATATTTTAAAGAAAATAGAAAGTCTCTGTTGTGTGAAATTATATAACTTATTACTGATAATAGCAACAGCAATTTAATTAAATAAAATCCGTTGCCATGTGATTGAAATTATAGATTTTTATTGACTTTATGCATACATAGATTTTAATTACTAATTATTTTATATCGCGCGGACGAAATCACGGGCAAAAGCTAGTATAAAATCCCGAACGCCCGGTCTAATTTGGCTGAAATTCTATGTTTTCAGAAGAAAAGAAGGAAGAATGAGTTCTTGGATGAAGAAGCTGTATTGTCAGGGAGCGGCGAGGGGAGCGGCGACGAACTGACAGACGACAGTATCGGCAGTGTTATTGATTTTATTTGCGACGAGAGCACGACACAGAATGAAGAGGATGTACATGCTTTTTATCTCAAATCAATCAAGTAAGTATTATAAGAACACTACTACGTTGTTTTTTTATAGTAGTAAATGGTATCTTTAGAATTTTCTTTCAAATTGTTTAACTTTTTATATTCTACTAGCTTTCGCCTGCGACTCCGTCCGCATAGTATTAAAAAAAAACATAAGTGAGTAGCCTATGTGCTCTTCCAAAATATCCTCTATATTTGTACCAAATTTTATCGAAATCGGTTCAGCCGTTTAGGTTACAAACTCTAACAAACATCCATCCATCTAAACTTTCGCATTTATAATATTAGTAAGAAGTTAGGTTAGTAAGATGTCAACTTATTTTACGCCATACTGTTACATTTAGTAAGTTCTAAAAGTTTGTTACATTTGCAAAAGCAAAATAGAAATATTTTTAACATGATCAAAAATATACCAGGAGTCCAGTGAAGGCGGGTGCATTTAAAATACCACAGTTACCAAAGAAATTTGATAAAGCTGAGATATTATCGCAATTTGACGAAGAAGATGCTTATGAAGCGGTAAGTGACATTTATTACATTTCTACAGGAAATATATAAAAACCTCAAGAAATTCTTGATATAATAAGATTTTTTTCTTAATTACAGGATAGTTTTTGTGTCGAGTCGCAAGTTGGATTAACTCAGACCACTGTGGAATCTGAATTAGAAATAGCGGAGAGGCTTTTGGAAGAAAGAAGGAGAAAGAAGAGAAATGGCTCCCGAAAGAAACTAGAAAAGAAATCAAAGATAGAAGATAGTACGGAGAGTCCTGTTGTCAAAAGGAAGAACAAAAATGTTAGGAGAATACAAAGTGACTCTGATAGCAGCTAACGAATTCCACTGCTAAAAACAGAAATATTCACATGTTGTCTCTTTTTCTCTTTTTATAAAACTTGAGACACCAACATTGTTTCGATAGCAAAATAACCGTCTCATCGCAGGTAGAAGCGATACATTGAACACTTAAATATTCTATATCTCGTACATTCATGGAATTATATCATAGCAAAGTACTATTTTCTACTATTGTTTGTGTATTACATTTGTCCATAGTTTTGATTCTGATCATTAATGGATATCATGAAAGTTAATAGATCTCTCAGTAAATATTTTAGATGTTTAAAATTGCTGCTAACCTATTTTATGTGATTTTCACCGACTGTTAGTTTTATAACGTGATTTTTTTGCAATAACTAAAAATAAAAACTATTGCAACATATGTTGCTCGTTTTACAATTCATATTTGCGAAAAAATTGTAAAGTTAATATTTTTAGCTATTTTCTTAACCAATGCATATGTTGATTTAAGTATCCAAATGGATTGAAGTATATATCTGTGATATTGCATTTGGTATAAGATTATCACTAAGTATGAAATAGGCAAGATATTTCCATTTAGTTTTAAAACTTTTGTATAATGTAGTTTATTTATTTTCACTGGCGCGGCCATCACTGTTGCTGGAAGAGTCGCGCGGTTTGAAGTTCAGTGAAAATAGGCTTATGTAAATAGCCACATTGTTTCTGGCTAAAACCGTTAATTAAATCATGTAAAAATATAAAAAAAAACAACCTTGTTACTGTCTTTTATTTATTTATTTTAACGTCTCAAAGCCTTCAAACTTTCATAGTATACGGTAATTATAAAAATACGCAATCTATTTTAAATTATATTGCTTTAGTTTACCATTGCTGTGTTTTAAGGCAAAATCCATTTTTCGTTTAAAATCTATTGTACTCTTTTACAATTATTTAACATTAAATTGCTTAAAGTCAACATAGTTAGCTTTCAGTAAACAAGAAAACAAGGCAATTTGCATTTAATTTTTTACTCTAATTTGTATATACCGTAAGTAACCTAACTTAACAGGAAATGATCAGTAAACCACTTTGAATATTCGTACATCGCTTATTAAAAAATAAGGTCCTTAGTAACGTCTATACAATAAACATAACACAAGGGAGACACCTACTCGAAAACATTAGTGAATTAAAAAAGTACTATTTACCGATAAATTATGTCCTGTTGTGTATAATTGACACTAAATTATAATAGGTCACTTTTAGAGCTGGCGCACACCTTTGACTAAACTATCGCACAACTATTGTCGATTGTTTCGCAGACAATTCAACAATCAATTTAGTTGAACTAAAAATCGAGTAGTGTGCGCATCTCCATATAAGCTCATAGGAATCAAAGCGAGACTAATCAGTTGTGCGATAGTTTCAAAGGTGTGTTAGCACCCTTATGCAATCTATACCAATGTAGGTTTTACATATTTTCTTACAGAACCGACCGAATATTTATACAAATTATTTAATCTAGTGGTCATAAGTAAACTAAATTATAGTATCTTATTAACGACATATCGATATTAAGGAGTCAAATTGTACTGTAACCAAATAAAATATAATGTTCGTAAGATACGGGATTTTTACCACGATTGGTTTGTTTTAGCTCCCGATATATAGGCACAGTTGTATGCGCCATGTTCACGGACTGACTAAAATATCGGAGCTAAAAACCCAATCGTGGTAAGAAACCCGTATCTTACGAACATTATATTTGTAAAAACGACAGTTTACAGTTATATATAACTAAATAAAAATCCGTAATGACATGTCCTTTAAGGTTGTAGGACCAAAAACACTTTTTTAAAATCATTAATTATTTATGTGGTTTTCTATGTAAGTTTTATGACGAAACTTCGACAAGATCACCACACCTGGAGATAAGTTTGTCGCATAATCATGTTTTTGTATAGATTTTCCGCTACACACACGCTAACACGGAGAGGTAGGCAAACAGACTGGAAATGTTTGCTATTCTTCAATCGGTTTAGGTTCAGTCTCTTTTATCTGTTTTCCTTTGTGAATGTCTTCTAACTCCGCTTGCAGTTCCGCATACCTCCTCTGCAATAGTTTCTCACGCTCCGTTTGCCGGTTCACGTCTTCTGTTAATGACTGAAAACAAGATAAAAACTTAAGTATTTTTAGACTTAAGATTGGGACAAGTGATTTCTTTAATTGATTGATTTATTAACTCGTGTAGCGTTTTTAAGGAAATGAAATGGAATACGGACTGATTATTGTAAAAAAGAACATAAATGATTATCAAATATAAAAAAACATCTAGAGGAAAAATAACAAAAATAGATATTCTTTCATACAAAAATGATTACTGTAATACTCCTTTAGCTATAGGTATGTAAACCTATATTTAAGGTGCCTTTACTTTCTTGCATCTTACAAAATAGCGTAATAAAAGCATCAATTTAAGAAAGGAGTAGAATTATATTCAAAATTCGTCTAATCTATACTATTCTATATTCTATACTATTATAAAAAAGCGTAAACACACACTTCTTTGTTGCCTAACACGTCAGCAATTACAGCATATTTTTTAAAAAATCTTTTTGTAATAAAAAACCCACACTTACGTCATGCTTTAGGCTATATATTTTAACGCTATTAAACATAGGGGGTTAATATTTTGGATAAAAACTCTAATGCGGGAACGAGACCTTAAGTTGCTGCCAACATCAAGAAAGCAATTGGTATTTTGACACATATAAACAATAAAATAACATTTATGTTTATTGCGGATAAAGTCGCAGGGGAACAGCTAGTAAGCCACTAATACCTCTATCCTCCGTGGTATGGCTGCCTTCTCCTGTTCAGCGAGGAAGCGGAAGGTGGAGAGCTCGAGGTTGGCCTGCTCCATCTGCTCCTGCAGCTCCCCGAACTGCTTGAGGCTCTGGTACCCGCCTGGAAACGTGATTTTTAGTTCCCATTACAACAAAACATGTTGTAACTGTGTTCCCATTGCTGGTACCGGTAGTGAAACATTGTCTCCATCTTACTAATATTATAGATGTAAAAGTTTAGAGACGGATGGATGGATGTTTTTAGCTTAAACGGATCTGGATGAAATTTGGCATAGATGTAGAATAGTCTGGAAGAACACATAGGCTACTTAGAAGTCGCGGGCGAAAGCTAGTTTTTCATAGATTGCGAAACGTGACTGCCTAATGTTCCTAAATAATGCGGATGGATGGATATTAGTTACTACATATCTCCAAAATTACTTAACGCAATGAAATATAGTACAGATGTAAAATATAGTTTGAAAAAAAAAACACATGTTACTTACTCAGATTTATTTTAATTCTGAGCAATCGAAATCTGTGGCAAAGTCGAGTATTTTTTATACAAATCAGTATTACCTGTTAACACTCGAAGTTTTTTCTCCATTTTGGAACATTTCTTCGCCTCCTTTGCCATGTGGTTTCTGTTCTGTTCCAGTCTTTTCTCAGCTGACTCCAGCCTGTCTTTCTTGCTGGCGAGATTAGCACGAGTGTATCTATTCTGGCCGGGCAGGAAGAGGACCTGGAATTTTATAAAATAACATTAAAATTAATAAAGCGTAAGAAATGTTTTGTAAGATTTTGCTAACATGATTTCTCACTGTCAATGTAGTTACGTCAATATCTTATTTTTATACTTTGTGTTTATCTGTAAGGAAATAAATACTATGATATATTATCTATCTATGTAATAAAGCGTATCACTGCTTAGTTATGTAGGATAGCAATCACAGTATGTTTTTGAATAATTATTTTTATAGTAAATAAATAAACACTACACTACTACTATTTATTTTATGAAATTTAGAGAAAAATCAATTTGGAAACAACCGTCATGCGGGAAAGGGACAAAAACTACAGACTGACAACGTCAAGGAAGCAAAGTTGCCATGGTAACGGTAATTGTTATCCTATGTTATTTACAATTGAAAATTCACAAAAGTAAATAATAAAGCAATGTTTTTATAAGAAACAGTTGGTTATGTATAAATGGTGTTTACCTGCGCGAGGCACTCCTCCCAGACCTGTGTGTAGGCGTCAAGGCCGAGGTCGCCGTGGCCC